AGATGCTAAGGGTTGTCTCAGGAGTAGGAGTAGTTCTCTTCCTGATATGAAAGAGGGAGACACCTTTATAAATGGAAATTTATGTCCTGCTTTTAGACTAAAAAGGAAAGGGAGAGGATAGAGAGTTAATTGCCTGCAGCCCAAAACAATCCTGACGCCAAAGTGGCATATTTTGGGTTGGCATACTCTGGTCCCCTTTGTATCTTTAGTGTCCAATTTCCCTAGAGTTAGGGACTGATGCTGTGTGGCCTACAGCCCCCATCGCAAATCATAGCATGGGTCTGTCCAGTGGCTAAAACCCCCGGGGAAACAAAGACACTCCTATGAGGCAGGATGTTTTAGGGGCATAGAGATCGCCTCTTAGTAGCTGAGGGCAAAGGCTAGGCCTCTATTTGAGTAAGGTTAGTTCTTCACTACACAAGTATGATGACTACCACCCCTTACTTGTCACTCAAATTCAAAATTATAATACAACTAATGGCCAATCATAGTTCATCTGATTAGTGTGCTGGGGCCAACTCATACTGGTTTACAAAAATTGTTAAACTCTTAGGAATTTTATAAGCTATTTTGTTAAACACAACCATTGTAAAAACGATGAAGTTATATAAACCAGCAGTTATATGGATTAGATTAAAAATGAAGACAATAAATGCTCAAAACTCATTATTTTCTAATTATTTTACTATTAACATGCTCTTTATCTTATTTACTGCATCTCTCTGCTGAGAATACTGTAGAATGCATCTCTTCCCATCTCTGTGCTCAGTGACATAGACGGCATGAAATCGACCATGGTGAGAATATTTATACCATGGAAATTAGCAAATGCTACGAATCAGGGCTTCTTTAAAAAATATTCTTTTATTTTGAGAAGCATCCTTCTGCTGCTGATCCAATCCTTACTAGAGCTATTAAGAGTATTTTATAGGCTATGAGAACATTGAGATAAATGTTTGATAAATTATATTGAAATATAAATTACATCTTGAGCTCCTCATTCTGATGGAATAATTAAAAAAAAATTTAACTCTTCATACAAACCTGTTTGGTGTAAGGTCTGAATTTAATTTTAAATGTAAATTTTTACAATGGCATTTTAGTGCTTCCTCTGGCATTTCCTGAAAATTGTGGTGGTTGTACAAGAAACTATTAAAACACCTTTTTTATTTATATGTAATTAAAATATAAAAGAAAAATGTTTATAATTAAAATTCCATTCAGATGAAAATAATGTTCTTTTTTTTGTTATACATAGTAAGGTTAAAATTTAATTTCCAAGACTGTGGATATTTGCTTTGCAATGTTGCATTGGTTTTTAAGGAAAGGATCATCCTTTCCTCCAAAGATGGAAGGATGCCCAGGGGAATCTGAATGAACAGGTCTTGCTAACTGCCTCCCCTACCTCTTACTACGCTTATAGTTCATACCCCTTTTAATCCTATCAAATTTTCCCATGATTCTTCACTCCTCAGCAAACTTAGTGTATAAACAACCAGGTTTAAGTATTTCTTCAGGTCTTTATTTCCTTACGAAGGCTTCTGTATCACATGATACTTATATTAAATAAATTTATATGCTTTTTTCCTTACTAATCTATATTTTGTCACAAAGACCTAGCTGAGAACCCAAAAGGATAGGAGGAAAAAGATAGTTTTCCTTCCCTACAATGCACGTTATTGTAATGTACATGTGTATGCTTTTGTCCTGTAGTAATATGCAAAGTTTGTTGCCTGAAAGCCAGAAAATGCAAGATCACAAATAATTTTTGGTATTCTTTTATTTTATTTCTGTGCAGATGCCACAGAGATGGGCTCTAGGAATGGAAGGGGAAGCCAGTTTACCTCCATGAAGAGCTCCTCTTGTCTCCTGGGGCTGCAGCCGTTGCCACCACTGTTACTTCTGCTGCCACCATTGCTGCCACTAGTCTGGGCCCAGGTCTGGGCACAACCAACCCCTCAGACCATTCAGTTCCTAGTCTGCCCTGCACCTGTTCTTCCAGATATTGAGCCAGCTTCTTAGTGCACATATTACCTGCTATTCCATGGACCCACTGGGTGGTGGGAAAACCTGATTTTATTTTGGTTCTTTTCACTTTTCTGTATTTTCTTCAAGAACAACAGGCAATATTTAAATAGCTAGACAACAAAAATCATTTTTTAGTATAAATTATGTTATCAAGCTTTTTACTAAATTTCTGCCTTTGTGACATTGCGTTTGATTATTTATACAGGATATATCTGAACAGGGTCTGTCGTTAGACTGAGAAAGCACAGTGAGTAGCGTTAAAGAAAAAGACTCTTCAATGATATTTGTTAAAGCATGGTAAGGAAGACTTTGTTCGGGACCATTATGATAGGTATAGAGACCACTGCAGTGGGGTCTTGCAGTGGGGCAGAGAGACTGGGATCAACTTCAAACACAGTATGGGCAAGTAGGTCTTTATAGCCAGGGAACAGGGTGGGGATCAGCAGATGGAGAGTTACTAAGGGATTCTGGCTAACCTGACCTAACAGGATTCTTGCTGAAGGCAGGCCAGGATAATCAGACATCACCTAGGGAACACTGGGAAATGAGGAACATGATCATATATTGAGAGTTGGGGGTTTTGGCTAAACCGACTCAGCAAGGTTCTTTGCTAAAACTGGATTTTATAAGAAAGTACACAGATGGGCCTAGCAGAAGATCCAGAAGTCTGGCTAAAGTTTGGTTATGCAAAAAATCATTGTCAGCAGTAATCTGAAGTTTGTTTGATTAAAATACCTTGTCCTTGATTTATTTTTAGTTGTGTCCTAACCTTTTTCAGGAATATGGTCTATTTTAATTTGCATAAGTGACTATCCGTATGGTCCTCAGAGAGGTAATTCTGTAATAATTTATGTTTTAAATTATTCTGGGTGGACAAAGGTATCTTGCAAAGTAGTATATTGCTCTAATTACCAATCCTTTAAAAAATTCAAAGACAAAGTTACAAGAATTAAATCTAATTTCCTTTTGGGTCCCTTTATTAGCCAATGATAAGTGTTTTACAGTTAAGAGAGAAGCAGATGGCTTGATGGGCTGGCATGTCAATGTAAACCTCTCTCTAACATCAGTGCTTTTACAATATTCCTGTAACAGAGCAGCACTGAATAGGAAATGGTGGGGTTGCAAAGGAACTGTCTAATTTTAAAAGGTATTTACTTATTGGTTGTCCTTGAGACGATTTGAGGTATCTTATTTAAGTTAATCCCAAATTCATCTGAACTAAACTAAATGGAGATGCCATTGAACATAGAGGAAAGCTTAATTGGACTCTCTGTGCTCAGAAATCTGGAATCCCACTTTGAGGTTTCCTCTTTTCTCCTTTCCATTATCTCTCTTGGAGTCTCAGCTCTCAGTCTTTCTTCACTATTCTCCGCTGTCAGGGAGAATTTTTGTATTGTTTCGTCTAAAAAACAGAAAACAACTCAGGTAACGAAGGGGCAGGCGGGGCTTCCTTCATTCATTGAATTTGCAACTGATCCGATGTATCTTTAAAAATGTAAAAAAATGACTTGGTATAGTAAAGAGCTCCACAAACGCTCAAGACAGTAGAAGAACAATTTCTGCTTCTTATTTTATTTTGTTAGGTAAACGAACTTTTTCAGGATTTTGAGAGGATGGGAATAAAATGATGACTTTCTATTTTAGTTTCTCCTCCATTTGGATGTATGCAGTTTCCAGGTAATTTTTTTTAAAAGACACAGCAATGGAAATTTACAAGGGGCCCAAAAGAATTGATAGAGTTCTCAAATCTGGAGGACTTCTAGTAATCATCACTCTGGACAACTAATTTATTCACATATTATACTTAGTATTTTAAAAAAGAAAACAATCTTTCAGGAAGACGGGAAGTTGTGGAGCCAATGCCAAAGGCCCTAACGCAGTCACCCCGCCCCCCATTGAAATAGCAGGAACAGTGCAAACGCGCCCACAGCCCAGGAAATAACCAGACCCAAGCGATCCAGTTAGATAGGGGGGAAAAAAAGGTAATTTGTTCAGCATCTCCCAAAGTGTCTTACGAGTTTCAGTAAAAACATAAAAATGAGAAATGCTTCAGAAGTCAGTTCAGCTCCCAGGCTCGAACCAAAAATGGAACCTGGGACTTTTTTTTACAAGTGCGGGCCCAGAAAGGGGCAGCTAAACAGCGGGTGGCGTCTGGGAACGAACCTGCGCAGGGCGGGAGGTCCCTGGCCAGCGAGCCCCTTTCTCTGGGCGTTCGGGAAGGTGCTGTCGGGAGCTCTGTGTCCCCGCGGGCTCCTGCACCCCGAGGCTGGGACCACGGGACGCAGCGCGGGGCGGAGAGAGAAAGGCCGGGGCAGGGGACACCAGGCAGGGGGACACTGGGGGACCGCGGGACGCAGCGCGGGGCGGAGAGAGAAAGGCCGGGGCAGGAGGACACCGGGGCAGGGGACACCAGGCAGGAGGACACTGGGGGACAACGGGACGCGAGCGCGGTGCGACCCGAGAGCGGCTCCCCTGCGCGGTCGCTGTTGTCCGTCCCGGGAGCTGAAAACCCGCAACTTCTCGGGGAGCGGCGGCCACTTTTCCCTTCGGGAGGTGGGTGAGGGGTTCCGGGCTGCGCACCTGCTGGGCCCGCCCTGCCCGGCCCGGCCGGGAGGGGTCCGCCAGACGCGCCCGTCCCCGGCCCCACCAGGCGGGACACCCCGAGCGCCTTCCCCGCGTGTCCCCGCAGCCCCGCGCCGCGCCCCCACCCCTCCCGCACCCCGCTCCACCTGCGCGCAAACTCCCTCTGCCGGGGACGCCGGCGCGAGGCGGGCGGGGGCGGGGGTACCGGGGCGGGGGGAACCGGCCCGGGTCCCGGGATTGGGGGGGTGGAGGCGAGAGCGAGCGGGCATGCGCAGTGGGGCAGAGGAGGTGGCGATGGCCGGGGGAGGCGGGGGGACTGCTGTTTATTTGCAGCTGGGCCAACTCCGCGGCTCCGGCGGCGGCGGAGCGCGGGGCGCCCGCGGCGGGCGTCCACCGCGCGCCTCCGCGTCCCCGGCAGGGGAGGATGCCAGACACCCGGGAGAGGCCGGGGCAGCGGCGGCGGCGGCGGCGGCGCGATGGTGGTGACCGCGTCTGCCCGAGGCGGCGGCGGGGACCGCGCGCCCTCCCGGCGGCGGGGCTGCGGGCTGGCGCCGGCCGGGGCCGCGGTGCTGCTGGCCGGGGCGAGCTGCCTGTGCTACGGCCGCTCCCTGCAGGGCGAGTTCGTGCACGACGACGTGTGGGCGATCGTGAACAACCCCGACGTGCGGCCCGGCGCCCCGCTCCGCTGGGGCATCTTCACCAACGACTTCTGGGGCAAGGGCATGGCCGAGAACACCAGCCACAAGTCCTACCGGCCGCTCTGCGTCCTCACCTTCAAGTGAGTGCCTCGCCTCTCCCGGTGTCGCTGCCTCCCCTGGCCCTCCACCGCGCCACCCCCTCCGCCCCGGGGCTGGGAGAAGTTGCAGGAGTGAGGAGCGCCTTGGGGGACGTTTCTCTTTTTTTGCAGCCCTTTACCCTCCACGCCTCCCTCTTGCTCCCGGCTGACGGGGCGCTCTGCTCCCGGGTCCAGGGCCCCGCTGCTCTGGGGTCTCGCAGCCGTCCGGGAGGCGCGGGCTGCGGAGTTGCGATCGAGTTTCTCAAGCGCCCGAACTCTCGGCGGGCTTCTCCCTCTGGGGCAGGGCTGGGAGCCGGCTGGTGGAACCGCCTCCGCTCCCCTCTCCCCTGCCGGATGGTGACCAAGTGAGACTAGCGCGGACCCAGTGGGTTTCGGAGGGGTGGCGGTGGTGGCGACGATGCTTCTAAATTGGGGATTTCTCGGAGACTGTTGGACAGCTTTGCGGATGAGTCTATCAGTCCCTTAAGGGGTGGCATTCAGAGGAGACGAGGCGGGAACCTTGAGCTGCCAGGGCAGCGTGGGTTTTGGGGAGGAGCAGGCGAGTGAGCAGAAGACACCCCCACCACCCCCTCAACACACACCCGCGCTGCACCCTCGGCGGCTCCCCGAGCCTGTCCGATCCGTCACTCCGCTCCGGGTCTAGACTTGCGAAGGTGCAGAGCGAAAAGCACGCAGAAGCGTGGGGTTCTCCGGGGATCCTGGGGTCCTAGCCGAAATAGTTTTTCTTTTACAACCTCGGAGTCATGATTCAGCATTTCTCTTGTGAATAAGTGTAAAGGGAACCGAGAACTCAGCCAGGTTTTTTGTAGGGTGGAGTATTTTCTTGAATTTCCAAAGAGAGCTAGCTTCGGAGGAAAGGGGACATCTCCTGCATCATGAGCTTGACTCAGCCCCTTACCGTGTGGCTCAGCGTTTAAGCTTATTTTACTGCACCGGACAAAACTGTAGAAATAAACGTTGGTTCCGTATTATTGGCGTTTTTAAGCCTTTTCCAACGGGTGTAATAGGAAGCTGTGTTTATGGTAATGATCATTTGAGACTGGGTTGGCAGCTTGAAAAGCCTGCTCTGGCTGGGAAGGCCTAGGTCTCTTGACAGGTGGCCCTGATGACTTAGAAAAGGAAACCATAGCAATTGGCAACAATTCATGGGCTTTTGACTTAATTCTTCCACTGAAAGTTTATTGTTTTTAGGAGGGTGAGAAACTTACACATTTGACTGCGGAGAGAATATTTAATCTCATAGCCATTTGTCTTCTTGGAAAGTTGCTCTGGTTTCTGCCGAAAGATAACCTCAGCTACTGAGTTGCTTAGTACCTTCAGTTTCTCAGATGTTTCTTACAATTTCTTTATATGGCATGACATAATTATTTCACTTCTAGATTGACCTGCTTTTTAATTTGTTATAGCGCGGATTGTTGGTTAATTTAAGGCGTGGAAGCTTACAATATGAGGTGTGCTGGAGTTACAGTAGCCATGGAGACCATCCTGGTCACTGGTCTAAGCATTTTCCATTTAAAAAGGGTCAGGGTCAAATGCCTGTTCCTACTTGCTAAAGGGTAGGAAAGAGGGTTTTCATTTCTTGACTTTGTTTTTTTTGTTTGTTTTTTTTTTTTTTGAGACAGAGTCTCACTCTGTTGCCAGGGCTAGAGCGAGTGCCGTGGGGTCAGCCTAGCTCACAGCAACCTCAAACTCCAGGGCTCAGGCAATCCTCCTGCCTCAGACTCCCGAGTAGCTGGGACTACAGGCATGCGCCACCATGCCTGGCTAATCTTTTCTATATATTTTTAGTTGTCCAGCTAATTTCTTTCTATTTTTAGTAGAGACGGGGTCTTGCTCTTGGTCAGGCTGGTTTCGAACTCCCGACCTTGGGCAATCTGCCGCCTCGGCCTCCCAGAGTGCTAGGATTACAGGCGTGAACCACCTCGCCTGGCCCATTTCTTGACTTTCTGAAATGTTTTTTAATTCATTCTGGAATTGGGGGTGGGCAGAGGAGAGAGGGGTGAAGGAAAGGAGTAGACAAGGAGGCAAGACCACTGAGGAAGAGGAAAATTAGTAAAAGTTGGCCGAACAAGGGCCAGCTCAAAGAAGGAGAGTTCGGTGTGGGAGGGGACAGAACTCTTCACTTGTAGTCATCCATTGCAAAAAAACAACGTGGTATCTAAGATGCATTGCTCTTTGTGAATTTTATGTTACTGTCTATGAAATATACACTTTTTTGAGAAGATTGAGTTGCACATCTAGAGAACAACATAGCACTAATTGGAAAGAGATAGGGTCCGTTTCAGAAAAAGAATGTTAACTACTCTTTCTGTGCTCACATGCAATGATTTAAATAAGACCGGACAGTTTTCTCCGCGTAGTCATCTGGAGTGAAACTGCATCTTCTAGTGTAATAGCATAAGGCCGGAGGACATTGATGACTTTAGACCTATATATCTCTACGGGATGCTGCAAAGAGGGACAGAAAATCACATTTTATTAACTGTTCAGTATGAACCAAGCATTTGCTTAGATATACATAGATTATATCTTTATGACCTTTATATTTATTTATTTTAGAGATGGGATCTTGCTCTGTTGCCTAGGCTGGAGTGCAGTCGTATGATCATAGCTCATGATAACCTTGATTTCCTGGGCTCAAGTGATCCTCCTGCCTCAGCTTCTGGAGTAGCTGGGACTACAGGCACACACCACCATGCCTGGCTAATTTTTAAAATATTTTGTAGAGGTGGGGTCTTGCTATATTGCCCAGGCTGCTCTTGAACTCCTGGCCTCAAGTAACCCTCCCACCTTGCCCTCCCGAATTGCTGGTATTATAGGCATGAGCCACTGCAGCTGGCCAATTTTTATTTTTGATAGTGAAAACACAATTCAAGTGGACCTTTAAATACGTACCAACCATTTTAATTTTATTTTAAATTACTCTTGTTTGAGCAAAAATCTTTGAGATTTCAAACCCATTAAAAAAACGTTTTTTATATTGAGATAATTGTATATTCCCATGCAGTTGTAAGTAATAATATAGAAATCCCTTTTACCCTTTATCTGTTTCCCCCAACACTAACATCTTGCGTAACTATAGTACATTATTGCAGTCGGAAATTGACATTGATACAATCTACAGCTTTTACTCAGATTTCAGCAGTTGTACATGTACCTTAAAATTTTATTTATTTTGGTAAGGGTATATTTAGTTCTGTGCAGTTTCATCATGTGTAGGTTTCTGAGACCACCACCATAGTCAAGATACAGAATGGTTCCAATTCGGGGATCCTTCCGATTCCCATCACAGATATGCACACCTAATCCGTAACAACCACCTAGTCCATAATCCCTCTACCCTCATCCATAACAACTATCAATCTAGTCTCCATCTCTATAATCCTGTCATTTCAGCAGTGCTATATAAATGGCATCATACAGCATTTAACCTACTGAGATTGGTTTTTTTCCCATTCAGAATGTCTCTGGAGCTTCATTCGTGTTGTCGTGTGTAACTGTAGTTTGTCCTTTCTTTCGCTGAGTAGTATTTCATTGTATGGATATACCACAGTTTGTTTCAACAATTCCCTTACTGAGGACATCTGGGTTGTTTCCAGTTTTTAGCTCTTATAAATAAAGCTGCTATAAAAATTCATTGACAGGCTTTAGTATGAACATACATTTTTATGTCTCTGGGATCAATGCCCAGGAGTGCAATTGCTGGGTCATATGGCGGTTGCATGTTTAGTTTTTTATGAAGCTGCCAAACTGTTTCCCAGACATTCCTACCAGCAGTGTATGAGTAATCCAGTTTCTTCTGCTTTCTTGCTAGCGCTTCATATTGTTGCTATTTTTTGTTGTGTTCAATCTGATAAGTGTATCATGGGATCTCACTGTGGTTTTAATTTCCATTTCCCTAATCACTGGCGATATTAAACATCTTTTCATATGTCTATTTTCCCTCTGTATATCCTCTTTGGTAAACGTGCCATTGTGATTTTTGTTCATTTCCTAAGTGGATCTTTTTTTAATGTTGAGTTTTGAAGTTCTTTATTTATTCTAGGTACATGTCTTTTGTCAGACATGTAGTTGGCAAATACTTTCTCCCACTCTAACTTGTCTTTTTGTTTTTCTCACAGTCTTTCCTGGTGTAAAACTCAAACCTATTCTTTTATTAAAAGTAAGCATGTTATCTTTGATTCATTGACTGTATGTCACACATACTGAGAGCTAGAAATTTCTGTACGGATAAATATAGTTGATACATGTATAATGCTTTTTGCTATAAAGGTACTTGATTATGTACCTTTATTTATTATGTACCTAATAAATAATAAAGGTGCTCGCTTAGGTAATAATGATAGTAACTATGATTTTTCTCAAATAATAAAGGAGCTAAAAGTTGAAATGAGGAAAGAGGTTATCAGAGTATCTATTTTTACCAGTTTTGGGGGCCTGGACAATGGAACATGAGGGCAGCTGACGAAGGTGTGGTGGCTTTGTAGTATGTCACTTTAGCTAAGTTGGAACTATGTTTCCTAGAATTGCCTTTGCAGGGTGGTCTGTGTTAGGAGTGGCCACAAGAGACATTTCTGTGAGATTTGAAAGGCAGAATGGAAGTGGCCATGATCACACTCAGAAGGTGTGTAGGTTTCGGTGCTGTTGGGGACTCGTGCATGTTGTCACAGAAGTGCTGGTGAGTCTGCTGTGGGTTTGCAACAGCAGCCAGGCCTGCCGCTCCCCTAGTGCCGTCCAGATCTCCTCCTTCAGCTACTTGGAATCCTGCTGCAGGTGTGTGTGCAGCTCTGTTGGGAAGAGTGCCCGCTTTTTTGCAAGGGACTCTCATGATTAAAGTCGGAGCCTTAGAGGCAGCAGGAAACAGACATGTATTCCAGCTCATGCTTGTGGGTTGCAGCTCCTCCTTGCCTTCCCCTGCTTCAAGTCCGTTCATCCTTCCTTCCAGAATGGCTGCCCCGGCTTTGGACTCCTGTTTCAGACAC